TAGGCCTTTACCCGTGCGCACCAGAGGACCAACCTTATTTCAGGTTTTGAAAACCCCTTTTTTGGCCGCTGCAGGATTCGAACCTTGGTCTACGTCCAATTTTTCCCACCGCTCGATCAACTGAGCTACCCGTGCGGGTAAATGTGACATTTTATACATAGTACTTTTTACTGTCACCTGTAAAAATTTTATTTCATAGAACGACACTTATATTTAAATTTCACATTCTACAAATAGTGTGACAATTTTAATTGATTTCACTCTCAGACTAGACCATATTTAAATACAATAGAACACATATAAATAATTTAAAGGGTTTTAATTAAATATGCTTTTAGCATTTAGAAATGTACATTTTGTTTATATCCCTGCAAATAATTTTGCTTAAAAGTCACATTTTTATTTGTTATTCTTATTTTGGTCATACTTTATAATTCTTTTTACTACTTCTGCCCCCCCCCCCCCCCCCCCCCCCCCCTAATATTGGAACAAAAGAAAGTGGTGTTATTTTTAAGAAAAGTTGAATTATGTGTTTGATAATGAGTTGATAATTAAAGTAAGAATGAATTAGAGTCACACAAATATTACCAAATATAGTATGAAACAAATTTAGTGGAACATAAAAAATAAGAAAAGTGAGACCTTTATTGTGGGACGGAGAAAGTATTTATTTAATACCGAATAATCCATATCGATGTTGGAAATAGAAATGGTGCTTAATAAACCTTCAATTTTTTAAAATTTTTATATATGCAATATTGATGTCAAATGAAAGATCTTGAAAAATTATAAAATTTGATATATTTTTTGTAAAAATTAAAGTAAAAAAGAAAAAGTTATACTCCGTAACATCTATTGTAATATAATAGCAAAAGAAAACTTGCTCTGCATAGAAAAAGTTCCCGCCCAAAATTATACATAGAGGAAACACGTACCGCAATCCAGAGGAAAATTCCAACGGAAGCAATCTGTGTGTATTGGACGTAGTAATTGTTACATAGGTATGAGTGGATGGAGTAATTGTGCGATGTATTTCTTAACCGATAAAATTTCTAAAAGAGTGTCTTCCAATTGGGCGAAAACAAGAGATAGGAAAGGAAATCCCTCTGTCCAGAACTTTCGTTGGCATGATCCGTAAACGAATGAGTCAATCTGTTTATCAGACTCCTCTAATTCTAGCTTTTAAATTTTTTAGATCAAAGATAATTTTTTCAGACTACAATATTAGGCTTTTCTTAAAATATCGAACTATATACGAAGAGTATATTTAGACTACAGAGACATTTCTTTTGCATTGCTCAACATTTCATTTTCTCCTTTTATTTTGGTATGTTTTTTAATAAATTCGAAACTTATGTATTAAAGCGGCTACTTTATTGGTATAACCTTCTTATTTATGTTTAACTATTGCAATTTATTAGTACCATCAAGTAAATTACAAAACTACAAGTATGTTTTAGTGTTTCTCATAAATTACAAAGCACATGTCAGTTATTAATTGTTTTGATTGATTTGTATTTTTGATTAAACGAAATTTTTGTTTTTAGTTGGGTGACTTTAGTTTACAAAAACATCAATCGGAAAAATTATTGGACAGATGCGTTGCTTCCATATTAGTCATTGGACAAATTTGACTGTTTATAATAGTTGGGCTAATAATAAAAAAAGGAATTGACTAAACAATTTACAGTAGTTGGACTCGGACATTTTTTTAAATTGTAGTTTAATAAATTAAATCATTGTGCTTCTTTATTTCACTTTATCATCGTGATCTTTTTAATATGAACTTTCAATTGTTCCAGATGTTTACATTCCTGCCTGTTCCAGATTATTCTGATAGGTGATGATCAAATTATATAAGAAAGACTCATCATTCAATTTAGAAAAAAAATTAGGCTCATTCAGTTGTGAATATTTTGTACTCCATTTGTTAATTTACCGGATTTTCACCTGTTTTAGAGAGATATTTACACACCATGTACGGTGTACCACTTCAATAATAATCATATAGATAAAAAAATCCAATTCATTGTAGCAAAAAAAAAAGATAAAAACCACTTTTAAAGTAGTTCTATTACCATTTTAACAAAGATACGTAGTATCTTAACTTATCTTATAAATGACAGTTTTTCATATTAAATGCTCTTTCATGCTTTATCATATTGTACACTTTATCACTGGGGTTGTACTGTTACTATCCAATTGACTTATATCACTTACGGTGTTATACTGTTTGTACGGTGTTATACTGTTTGTATAACGGTGTTGAGTTATACACCTTGAGCAAATTAATACACAATAGCACACTTCTGAACTTTGGCTTCTACACTAAACCGTTGCTGAAGCTAGCTAATAGGTCTGCATTTCATGAGTGTCGATTATCTTCCAAAGTCCTTAATTAATATGGCGACTTCTGGAGTTCTCTTTATTTGATTTACATACATTTAAGATGTTAAAATCCTTCTTATATGGCCTTAGAAGACAAGATGATGAGGTTTTCGCCTTTTAATATTCATCTTTCATACTGGTTTGGTTTTGGGGGTAATTTTATCATGTCTTTCTATAAGTTGCTAATGATTAAATGCCGGATTTAGGGCCCGTTTGGTAACACCTACATCGGCTGTATCGGCTGATTCTGCTAAAATTTATGAAGTTCTAGTTGAAGCGGCTATATTGGCTGATTCTGCTGATTTGTGATAAAATATATTTTAGAAATAAAATAAATGAAAAATTATATGATAAAATAACTAAACCAAAAGTTACGTTTTGGTGAAAAAGTTGGCTGATAAGCTTGAAAAGCCAAAAATTATGGTTACCAAACGGGCTCTCATTCAACTTCATGTAAATGTTTGTTGGCAGATGGATTGAACGCATCTCATCAATTTGGTACAAATTGCTCACCTGAAAGTAGTTTGTTTTCTTCGATTTGAAAACAAAATAAAAAACATTAGAGTTTTTTTAAAATAAAAATCAAGCCCACTACATCCCTACATGTTTGTCTATATGCCCGAATAGAATAGTTCTACATGTGAGATCGCAAATCAAATAATTTAAATTGAATAATTTCGTCAAGAACTATGACTTTGGGAGCATACGTATATCTCTTATATATTTAAGAATTTAATCATATTAGGTGTTTGTTACTCCAATTTGTAGAGACAGAACTTTAAAGACTTTTTATGTATTTGCTGGTCTATTGTGTATGAATTGTATGTATCATGTTCATTTTAACTACAAAGACTAAAAATCAACGTGAATCTCCAAAGCAATTCATATAGATTCTGCAATTTTAAGCAAAATCTTAAACATGAGCTACAAATAATACCTTCAGTAGTTACTTATATTCATGATACATAATACATAACGCAATAAAATAAAAATTATGTAGAATTTGTGCTCTAGAATTTGGACGTTGCTTTTTGAATTTGCGCTCTAAAAGCACGCGCAACGCACGATCAATTTGTTCTCAAAATACTACTGCTGAAAACATATTAAAAGTTCATAAAATGTGTTGGGCATATAATATTCACGCAACGCGCGATCAATTTCCTAGTTATACATTATAAAGTTACCTTGATCGACCATTAATATACTTGAATGGGTTGGTAGCATTCATTTAATTGTATTAGTTGGCATAATGGTAAATAAAATTACATGTGTGATATAATTGAAATATAATTGTGTCTGATTACAATTCTAATTAAATGAGCTATTGGATGATTTTTCTTCGGGTGTTAACAATAATACTTAGACCATCTCCAATGCTACAATGTGCACAATGCACATGTGGCATGAGAGAGATAGAAACAAAATATTGATTTAATGACATTTCTCACTCATTCTTTCCAGGGTCTTATGTATTTTTGATAAGTTTTTGTCTGCAATGTCATGTGGCTTGATATTGTGATGAAAAACTTACCAAAATAATGTAAGATCCTTCAAATAAGGAGAGATATTATGTTTATTGTTTTTTAATTGGTTATTTCTCATGTACCGTTAACGTTTTAGCATTGGAGATGCTCTTATATTGAGTTTTCATTCTTTCCATGTATAGAAAATATCAATCCTAAAAATGACAAACATGAGTGTGAGTTATTGATCGAATTTGTTTAAAAAGCTTACAAAGACATTCTAAGTTTTATGACCTAATATACAAACTCCCTTTTAGCTTAAAAAGCTATATATATATATATATATAACATCACTATTATATTTATACTTTTATAAAATATTTTGTGTATATCATTTAAATAAAAGGTTTTATCCGTGCATCGCATGAGTGAAATACTAGTTTTAAAGAAAAAAAGACTTCCATACTTTGGGCCCAGAATTGCATTTCTTTTTAGTTGACCGAAAATGTTTACCGTACGTAGAATGAGCCACATGGCATCTCTACAATTTGGGGTGATATTTCTTTTCTTATTGCAATGAAGTTTTCACCCCAAAACAACTGCAACCCAGATGAATTTTAGTATATAGAGAAAACCGAGGGGAGGGGTATCTATGCGGCTGATTGACTCTCGCATAGAGGGTGAGCCTGACATCCAAAGTAGTGGACTGACATTTTTGTAATGTATTAGGATTTCTTCCTCTTTTTAAATTATCGTATCGAATATTATGTGTGTTTCTAGTAATTGATTGTTGGTATTTTAATTTGACAAAATGTGTTTCAATTGATTTAAATTTAATATTAAACAAGTACATAGTATATAAAATGAAAACTTAATAATATAGAAATATAGAAAACAATTAATAGTTTTAAATTTATTTCAAATTGAACTCAAGTACGCATTTTTAATACTTACAAAAAAATTAATTCGCATTTTTTATTTTTTTACATCGAAATGTTTGAGTTTTTAAACAATAATTACTGGTCAAAATAAAATTAACACATAAATGATGTGTAATAAAATAACCAAGGATTTATGCATTTAATAATAAAAAAATATGCTGAGTGGATATATTGACGGTGTTGGGTTACAAAGAAAAACTGAATTGACGGAGCGAATGATAAATAGAATACAGAAATCTCTTTTTTAGTGCCACACAATTCAGGCTCGAGGAAGCCTAACACGGCAGCATCGTCAGTCTTCGCATACTCGCTCACGCCCGTCGCCTGCACTCCGCCACTCACCCTTCGGCCAATCGACCCTTCTCAATTTTCACTCCGCCACTCACCCTTCCGGTATTCCTCCAGTTCCCTTTTATTGATTAGTTCATTCATTGATTTAATTCATAGTTGTATTTAAATATTTAGTTAATATAATGGTATTGTTGTTTGTTGAAACCTAAGCAACATCTGAGAAACCTAAGCAAACTCTGATAGGTAAAGGCTATTCAGCTATTGGTAAATACATGTGAGAATATGTTTACAATTTTTTTCATACATATGTATGCATATACGGAGTACATATTTTCACACATCCATTTGTACATATTCTTGTTTGTTACGAGGATATTCTATTAATTCAAACAATTGTTAGCCGGTTGGCTCAAAATACAATCAAGAATAGAATGAAATAGTGACAAACCATCCGACTTTGATAGGGCTTCTCGCGCACGGTAATGAGCCACTCTATTCGTGGACCTCTTACAATGGTTGACTTCAATGATGGCTTCATCAGCAATACCTTGTCTAATATCATAAGTGATAGTTATCTAGATAAGAATTGCCATCTTCGTCGTGCAATCTTCAATGCCCACGTTAGAGCCTCACGAACCCCAATGGCTTCGGTCACACTTGCCGACAGCTAGCCTTACATGTTTGACACCCTCCTTTAATAAAGTTACCATCTGAATTTCTTGCTAGCCATCCCTAGGCCCATTATATTAATTTTCAATTTCTAATTTTTTATTGATTTGAATGATATGAAGAGTGATCTGAAGATGAAATAGGATAAAGTAGTGCTTCAATGAAACATTGCTACTGTAATTGGAACAAAAAACTGCACCTATTGTACTTAGGATTTATGAACAAAGTTAAAGTTCTATTTAATGTGACTATACATGACATCATCATCATTTTCATTTACCCCAGTGCCGCAAAGGCTCCCACCTATGGTGGGGTAAGGGGGAGTCGCATGTACGCAGTCTTACCCCTATACTAAAGCACAGAGAGACGGTCTCCGGATGACCCACAGTGAAAATCGCGTCCAAAATTGCATGGACTGACTGCATCATAACAAAGAAGCGCATACAGTTTAGTGAGCCATTTTGCTTTATTCCATCATAATCTCAAGCCAAAAAATAATGAATCTTTGGCTCCATTGCAAATGATGGATACGAGAATAATATGCATGTTTGCATCTAATTGGCTTAGTTCAAATATATTGTCATGTGTTTTTCTGTTGGTGCACTTTTACTTCCACTAGTTGGTTCTTTCAGCTGTAAAAATAATTCATCACTTGTAAAAAAATGAAAGATTGTATGTCATGATCAATGAGGCTTATGTTGCTAGGATTTTTATTCAATTCCTTCAGAAAGAGCAGTGAAAAATGACACTTTCAGAGGAGGAGATCACGAGACTATTCAGGATCCGAAAGATAGTGATGGAAATGCTTACAGACAGGGGCTACTTGGTAGGAGATTTTGAGATAGGAATGTCAAAGCATCAGTTCATTCAGAAATACGGTGAGAACATGAAGAGAGAGGACCTTGTCATCCAAAAGGCGCTGCGCAATGACAGTTCTGATCAGGTATGTGCTTGGCTGATGTATGTTTTTAATTGGCTAATGTTCTATGTCAGTATATACTCTTTTGGTGATTGTGATATGAGTTGCACTGTCTTTCTGACTTTTGGATCTGCTAATATCATGGTTGTCACGGCGGCACGGTGTCAGCCAACCGCCTTATTGCCTAGGCGTTAAGGTGCCCGCCTAGGTGACAATTAGGCAACAAGTTGTGCCATTACATAGTTTATATAAATATATAAATAATACGTAGTATAAATTAAAACATACTCTGTATATTTACTTCTGCACTTATTACTCAAACCAAATTTTAATAATTCAAAACAAGTGTTTAACATTCATCTCAAATATAAATGTCCAGAACAATAAAACATTTAGACTGGGAATCATTAATGTATAATAATATTCACCCAATGTTAAAACAGTAAGTAAAGAATTAAACTATGTAGTCTATCTGGATACCTAATCGACATACTGAAAAAGATAAAACACAAACAAATGAGGGCTTTGGGCTTAATGACAAAAAAGAAAGAACAGTAGATGGACTTGGTGACAAAGAAAAAGAAATGAGGTCGGGCTTCGTGAGAGGAGACAACAGCGAAGCAGAGAGCTGCATCAGCTGCCGGTGGGGCAACCTGCATCAGTGGCTGGTGGGGTGACTTGCGTCAATGGCCGGTAGGGTGACCTGCGTCGGTGGCCGGCAGGGTGACCCGTGCCGGCTTAAGGGACTAAGCATCACACATTTCCGGGTCAGGTCAGTAAAATAAATATATTTGACATTGCCATGGCGCCTGACTACGCCCAGTTGTCGCCACAGAACGCCTAGGAGGCTTCAGGCGAGCCGATTGAGCATGGCAGTTCTCTTCCATCGTCACGATGCCTAGTCGGTGGCTATGCGATGCCCGGGAGACGCCGTGATAACAATGGCTAATATTAATAATTAATGTGTTAGTAATGCGTTAGTTGCATATAGTAATTTTCTTCGGCCAGACATCATATTTAACAGCCTACTCAGTATGAAATCCCATATCCTCCTCTTCATCAAGTTGTTGTAAAAATTACTTTGTCATAAGGGTATGCTTGGTAATTTTAGGGTACATGAATAAGAATGGGTTTGATAGAAATAAGGAATGGGTCTCATACCCCCCATTTGGGAGGTGTATGGCTCAAGGTGCAAAAGTATGAATGAAACCCATGGTAGAATACTACCAATCACAAACTATAATCTTTCCATTTAATCACTCTTGATTCATCCAAAGTTGTAAAATTTGTTATTAGTTTATATGTTTGTTAAAGATCAATATAGGTAGAATACAGATGTCAAAGATGTATTCTTTAATTTGTAGATCGATGACTCTTTCTATTTCTAATGTAAGCATTCAAATGGTATTTTCAGTCATGGTTTTTTAAAATAACAGGACTTAATAATATAATAGAGGATAAATTTCTTGATAATAATCTTGCTGTTGATTTTGAGAAAAAATTTCTGAAACATTTGAACTAAATCTACTAATTAAACTTGGTACTTGAAAAACTTATTTATTAAATTAAAAGCAAGACATGCGCAAATGTTTAGGGACTAGTTTACTATATGTCATTTCAAATAGATTTTTATTTATTTTCATGATTGTTTTAACTTTTAATTTCCATTATTTGCAATGGAGCCAAAAATTCATTATTTTTTGGCTTGAGATTATGATGGAATAAAGCAAAATGACTCATTAAACTGTCTGCGCTTCTTTGTTATGAAGCAGCTGTCAGTCCATGCAATTTTGGACGGGATTTTCACTATGGGTCATCCGGAAACAGTCTCTCTGTGATTTAGTACAGGGGTAAGGCTGCGTACATCCGACCCCCCCTTACCCCACCGTAGGTGGGAGCCTTTGCGGCACTGGGGTAAATGAAAATGAGTATTGTTTTAACTTTTAATATTTCCATCATTTGCAATGGAGCCAAAGATTCATTTTTTTGGCTTGAGATTATGATGGAATAAAGCAAAATGACTCACTAAACTGTCTACGCTTCTTTGTTATGGAGAAGCAGTCAGTCCATGCAATTTTGGACACGATTTTCACTATGGGTCATCCGGAAACAGTCTCTCTGTGCTTTAGTACAGGGGTAAGACTGCGTACATCCGACCCCCCTTACCCCACCGTAGCTGGGAGCCTTTGCGTCACTGGGGTAAATGAAAATGATTGTTTTAACTTTTAATGTTAGCATACTTGGTTATCAATTTGCCTCCTCCCTGATTAAAATCTTGAGTCTGCCAGACATCCGCTGCAGATTTGGGCCTATGCTCCTTACATCTTATGGGGTCCAGGCAATAGGCATCATACGAAGTATATTATAGGGTCCATGCAATATTCATTATATCGGGTTCTAGGCAATATAACACTGACACATTGTACTGTGGAGATCGGAGAAGCCATATACTTCTCCAGAGATTTCCAGTTTTAGAATTATGCGTGGAGTAAAGTACGTACGTATGTATTATGCATGCATGCGATGCATGCGAGGCATGCTATATTATTATTATTTTATATGTCATTAGCTTATCTATTTTAGGGAGTCATTTGCTTAGGATTTCCCTTTACACGATTTAGGCATTTTGTATGCATGTAATCGCTATTATAAAAGGGAACTTTGTGATGCTAATAAACATCAATGAATAAATTAAAGAAGAAGGGAAACTCCCAATTTGTAATGAAGAATGAAAACCCCCTAAGGTTCCGATGCCCTCTCCCATTTATCCTTTTAATTCAGTCCTGTGATGAAAAGATTCCCCGTGCATCACTTTTTTGTGCCATAGCCACCGTGATCGGAAATCTTGCTGATTAGTCCACGTTCATCTCAGAGATACATAAGGATCTACACAAGCTAACAAGCCAAGGATACCTTCACATGCTATGGTGCTACACAACACAGTTGCTGAAGGTGCAACATGCACTGTTATCATTAAAAGAGTTGACTTGACACTTCGTAACAAGGTTGACGACTTTTCCGAATTGGTGGGCTACTTGGCAGGGGAAGAAGCACCCCCCATCCTTAGACTCTTTATCTACCAAAGTTCCAACTTGACCACTGCACCTCCTAGTACCAACGTTCTCAGCAACACCCACAAAACCCACAATGAAGACTGTTCCTCTCGAGAAACTTCTCCAAACTACCTACTTGGACTTTCAGATCCATTTTGGTTCACCAAAACCATCCCAGTTTACCATTCCCTCAAGGGAATTTCCAAAGGATTTTGATCTCCTCACTTTATTCCACCTCAAAAAGAAACTTTCGATCTCCTTCAAGAATATAAGGACCACTAGGATCACTGGCACTTTCCTATTGGCGCAATCATTCAGCAATTTTCGACTTGTTTTTCACTATGGGTCATCTGGAAACAGTCTCTTTGTGCTTTAGTACAAGACTACAAGGGTAAGACTGCGTAAGCCGTAAGTGTCAGACTGTGTTAAGACATAATTGTCACACTCCCACAAAGCCTTTTCTTGGGCTGCTGCTGCACTTGACTGCATATCCTTGTACATGAATTTGCTGAAAATTTTTAATTAATAGAAATATATAATATGTTCATGCCTTCATAGCAAATGGTAATATTGAAATGCCTAGTGTCATTAACACTGCTGCAACCAGCTTACCGGAAGGCCATGGGCTGGCAAAATAGAACGAACCACACAAAAAATTAGTAGAAAAAATGGAACTGTTCGGTTTTGTCAAGACATTCAAAGCATTCTGGGCTTCTTTCTGAATGTTCTTCAGCAAAACTCACTTTTATAACAAGAATATACAGTAATTCAAGTTTCAATGCTAATATAATTATTTAAAAGCATCTGATAAATTAAAAGCATATCTAAACGCATATCTAATATACTCTGATTAAACCAAATAAACCCACCATTCTTCTTTGCTTCTTGGTCTCTCAGTGCGGGTATCTTATGTGCCCATGATGCATTACAATGCCTACTTGAGAGGGTGTATGGTGTGTTGATGTTTTATTTGCTAGTGACATACACACCGTGCTGCTACCAGCTCAAAAGAACATCATGAACTGACAAAATAGAACAATGAAAACCACACCCAAAGATCGGAAGAAAAGACAGAACCATGGCACTAAAGAGAGAGAAGAACAGTTTAATTTTGTCGAGATCCCAATACTCTCAAGACTTCTTTTTGAAAGTTATTGCTTGTTTAAAATACACTGATTGGACCATTAAGTCAACCATCCTTGGTTCTTGATCTGCTCAGTGCGGGTTTCTTCGTGCCCATGATGCATCACACCCTTCTTTGAGAGGAGTCTATGGTGTACCAATGTTGCACTTTAACTGCACAGGAAGATTGATGGTTTTCATTTTCCAAGCCATACATTCCAAAATGATTTGTAATGCACTAATGTGCAATCTCTTGATATCTATTTTTTTCTTTCCTATGCTTAATGATACAGATATATGTTTTCTTTCCTGACGAACCAAAGGTCGGTGTTAAGACAATGAAAACATACACAAATCGCATGAAGTCGGAGAATGTTTTTCGTGCAATATTAGTAGTCCAACAGAACTTAACTCCTTTTGCTCGGACATGCGTAAGTGAAATATCTACAAAGTTCCACTTGGAGGTGTTCCAGGTAATGTGAATTAGTTTTATCATTTTTATATTTTTTATACTTTTAATCATTGAATATTTGGATAGGGAGAAAGAGTGAACCTTACACATTAGCATCAATATAGGTCTTTCTATGGTACTGGAAATGTAATTCAAACTTTAAAAATTAGTTACTACATGCTCAATACATCTTTCTTCACGAAATGTGCTGTTTCTTGAACATTACTACCACAAAGGGATGATTAAAGAATTAAAAAGTTATGTATCGAGGTGAAACCTTTTTTTTGGCTTGATATTATGATGGAATAAAGCAAAATGGCTCACTAAACTGTCGGCGCTTCTTTGTTATGAAGCAGCAGACAGTCCATGCAATTTTGGACGGGATTTTCACTATGGGTCATCCGGAAACAGTCTCTCTGTGCTTTGTGCTTTAGTACAGGGGTAAGATTGCGTACATCCGACCCCCCTTATCCCACCATAGGTGGGAGCCTTTGCGGCAATGGGGTAAATGAAAATGAAAAATGATCGAGGTGAAACCTTTGTGTCATATAGACAATTGAAGTTAAATTATATCTAATGCTTTACGTTTTATACTTAAACAACAACAGTATCCATGCCGTAGTCCCAAAAGTTAAGAAACGTTTTATACTTATGTTTGCTCAAAATCGTGTACACTAATGTGCTTTTTTCAACGCCTTAACCATTATACACGTAACCTTTTTTTTATTGGTGCCCAAGTTTCAAGGATTTTTCCCTCCTCAAACTTCAGCAGGCCTCAATAATGCTTTTTTGAACCAAGGGTCCAAGATTAATGTGATGCTCATGAATTTGTTAGAATATATAGGAGCATAATACCTTTTTCTTTTGCTTCAGATTTTATGATGTAAAATGTATGTTAGTGTGTACTATACAAATATATAAGAAAGTGACCACCAATGTTACTTCCATGATATGTTGTAGGAAGCTGAGTTATTAGTCAACATAAAAGACCATGTTCTTGTTCCTGAGCACCAATTGCTCACTGCTGAGGAAAAGAAGACCTTACTGGAGAGATATACTCTCAAGGAAACTCAGGTTAATTTTTGGTTATTCTGCATGCATCCTACTTGCTTTAGGATCCATGATGTTTTCTATCATAAGGTGGTCTGATCTCAGTCATGGTCTGGCTAGAAGGAACCATCTCCAAAAATTTGAACCAACTGCAAAAGCAATTCTGGGGGTCAAACTGTTATGTGTTATCTAATTTTGGTGATATAGGATCCAGAATCCAGATACCATGGATTTAGAGTGTGGGCTTGTTATTAAATTGTTCCCGCCGTTCCCAAAAAAGGAGTCCCATTCGAAAGCCCCCCCCCCCCCCCCCAATAAAAAGTAGTCCTATTTAGAACAAAGAAGCCAATTGCCATTATATTTAGTGGTGTTTTTCACTTTTTTCAAATAAAAGTCTCCAAACCAAGATAACTATGTTAAATTTAGTTAAACCTACAAAACAAATTAACAATTTGTTAGAACTGATACCATACAAAAATCATTTGATAAACCAAACAATTTTTTGAGACGGAGTTAGCACTTTTTTAGGAAGTAGACCTGGTTAGATGATAATCTCCCATCTCCATCAAATGGACCAAATTTAAGATCCACACACATCCTTAATTTATTGGAATAGTTATTTCATTCTTGGGAGTTTGATATTAAAATGCGATGTTCGTCACTTGTTGGAATGGATAAATTCTATTATATGGTAGATCAGTGAACATTATTTTTCAAATTCCTATTCTATCAGGCTGGAAAGGATATTCCTTAGCACCCATCGCTATTATTTTACAAAAAATGGAAACAAAGATTTTGAAAGGGAAATGGTTTGTGTTCTGGATTTTTTTCCCATACAAAAGGTTTTAGAAGTACTGAAGTATAGAAGCTCCTACCTCTTTAATTTATACTCCCTCCGTCCCGTTGGAAGGTTCCCATAGCAAAATGGCACGGTTATTTAGACAATAATTAAATAAAGTATTTCGAGTATATTTTGAGAAATAATTTTAATAGATATATATTATAATGTAGTTAGTATTGATAACTGTGATGTTATAAATGTATTGTTTTTAATATTTAATGATTAATTTGTCACTTAAGATTGTTAATTGTTTCCTAAAATGGAAATGAGAACCTTATAACGTGACGTCCAAAAACGGAAAGTGGGAACCTTCTAATGAGACGGAGGGAGTACTTCGTAACAATACTTGTATGTGTTTATGTATAATATATTAACCTATCTTTCCTCAGTCCCAAAATGCAAGTCTTGTTTTCATTTTGCATGCATTTCTAGGTGCCAACGCAAAGTTCATCCTTTTTCCACCCCCACCCCCCAAAGTTCTGAGTTGGCAAAATGTTTTGTTATCTACTTTATGGCTAATAGTTATTTGATTTTTTGTGTCGCTAATACTAAACCCAATATCTAATGAGAGGTATTCCCAAGGCAGACTTATGAAGGGTTACACATGGAAAGTAGTGGATCAACTATGAAAATCAAAATGTTATTGATGTTTATTTTGGGAGGAATGATAGTATATTGGTACAGATTATAAAGAAAAACAAGATGTGTAAAATGGGATGGGGGGAGGATTCATTATGATTTATAATATGATATTGTAGTTTATTACTCCCTCTGCCCCACTAAGATTGTCTCATCTTTCATTTTCGGTCTGTCCCACTCAGATTGTCCCACACTAAATTTGGTAAAGTTGGTGTAGTTCTAAATTATTGTTACTTTATTCTTACTCTATCAATTCAATATCAACCACATAAATCCTTTTTTCTTAATAATTGCACCACCTCTTCATGTCCGAATGTTAGTGGTACGGAGGTAATATAATTTAGTATTACCTCCTTCCCATTTTATGTGTCCCCTACTTTGGTTTGACACAATTTTTAATAGTGGTTGAAAAAGTAAAAGTCGTGGTTGAGAATTGAGTGTAATAAAGTAAGATGTTATAGTCCACATATTTCTCTCCAAAAAAAATGTGACACTTATTTTGGGACAACCCTAAAAAGAAAGGCTAAGCCGGGTAAAATGGGATGGAGGGAGTATTATTTTTGTTTAAGTAATTATGATGCATGGACAAAAATGTTTTGTACTTATGGTTCCCTGACAATTCCAAAGCAAGATAGAATAAACAATCCAGTAATTTCTTTCCGACCAAACAATGAAATTTGAAATCATCCTTTGTTTCCTCACCATTCTTAGGCATATTAAAATTTAAGTCTTCACGAATAAAGCTTGTTTTCAAAGTATTACCTCCGTGACATTCATATCTTCCCACTTCAACTTAGGTGAGATTATGAATAGTGAAAGAGAATATAAATTATTGAGGGTATGATGGAAGATCATGAAATAGTGTGTTGGAATGAAGAATAAATCCAAAACAGTAGTTGTAATAGTGTATTATTTTCAAAATTATTGAGGGTATGATGGGAAGATTTAGAAATGGGAAGATATGAATGTTATAGTTGAAAAATGAAAGTGGGAAGATATGAATGTTACGGAGGGGGGAGTATGTTATTTTCATCAACCATGTTCCTAGTTTTCATTTTTGTTTGTGGTGTTCCCACACTCGCACAATTTTGCTTCATAGTTTTATCATATACACATCACGAATTGATTTTCCTTTTTCGGCTTGCTGAATAATGGCTACTGCCTTTTGTATGCTTTCAGTTGCCTCGCATTCAGGTGACTGATCCGGTTGCCAGATACTACGGGCTAAAGCGTGGCCAAGTTGTGAAAATAATCAGACCAAGTGAGACAGCCGGTCGTTATGTCACTTACCGATATGTTGTTTGAATGTGGTACTATTGTTGGGTTCTCGGGTGAAATGAAATGAGAATACTCGCCGGGGCTTCTAAATCTGCAGCAGTGTGTTCGGATATAGCTTGCATGTACTCAGTACTTGTATCTCTTGTCTTACGATTGGTTTCATTGATATTTGTTTTTGTCTTGGATAGTCTTTGAGAGAATCAACTATGAAGAATGATAAAAAAAGTTGGTGTTTGTAGATTTTAGCTCAATTTCAAGAAGCTGTAGGCTTGCTTGATCAGGGTGATAGAAATTTGATTCAGCTGAATGTACTTACTTGAATCTCTCTCTCCCTGGTTTAGAATTCTACTCTTATTGATCTCCTTCCTTGTTCAAGACTTCATGGTCAACAAATCTGAATCACCAGGGAGATGGTTATATCAAGAACTGACATAATTACTCTGATCGGTTTATTCATATAATTGCGGGCATGCATGCGGTTTGCCATTCTCTGACTGTGCATGGTTGCTGCCACTGATTTTTGTGTTTGTAGCTGCATGCATGTTGTGGGATCGAAGGCACATTCTAACTTCATTTGCAGTCCTTAAAGTGCAGAAGTAATGTGTCTTCTTGTTTTTGTAACATCGGTCGAATGCACAAAACAATGCCCAAAATAAAACATTTTTGTCTCAAAACATATCCAAATGACATCAAATCATCATTCGATAATCAAAACCCAAACGAGGGATAAAAGTTAAATAAATGTCTAGTGGGCAAAAACAATTCCCACTACAAGACATATTTGTCTCAAAACTCAAAAGTAGCTTTAAAATTACAGTTTCCACTCAAAGGTAACTTTTAAACTCGAATCCATAGGTAGCTTACAAAATTTGAATGAGTTTTTCTTAGTAAATTTTCTCTTGCTTTATGAATGTTTTCAATTTTTTGATCTGCATGAGACGGATCAGCCGATCAGTTCAGCAGAGAATATTTTGCTGTCTAATCTGCAACATCTATAACTTCTCGAGTCACTTTGTTAAACACAGGGCTATTAACTCCCTGTCCACTAGATTCAACGTGCAGGTTCTTTTTATATGAATACCAATTTACAAATATATTTACATACAACATGAATAAACTGAACATTTGCGAAATACCATTTCATTGAAGCAGGTCTCTTTGAGCAGTGCAGTAAATTCTTCTACATTCTCAACCAATTCCTTGTAAATATGAAGTATAAAACAAATTTCAAATAAGCACTAAAATTGAATTTTAGTTCACCTCTACGTTTTCATTGTTAAGAGAGAGAAAAGATTATATCACTGCTAGATTCATCATTAATATCCCTTGAGTAGATTAGGATTTTGCTTTGTTTACACCCTAAAAAACAATTGTAAATTGACCAAGCCTTCTATATTAGGTGGGAAATACACACGCTCACTAGATTTCTGTGAAAGAACAGAGTATGAGTGGGATATTAATTATTTAGTGACTTTAGAGGTCACAAATCACTAAAAAAAAATTGAATATCACTCCATCACTTCTTGTTGGAGTGGGCTACTGTCAGGTACCCTGCCAGCCACCTCAATGGCCTTCGAAAATGCATGGCCTGTTAACCCGCTACTAGGTACCCTGATAAATCCTAGTTCCTTGGTTCTCATCTCTCCGTGGGTTTTGTTGTTCTGTGTTACTGATTATCTTTATTATTCTTGTTGTGTTCTATCTTTACTTGTTGTCATGGCTGCCAACATGTATGGAATGCTCCCTTTTAATGGAAAAACTGGTTTTGATATTTGAAAACAAAAGATTAAGTGCATTTTAATCAAGCAAAAGGTTTTCAGAGATGTCAGTGAACTTTACCTGGATTTTGATGATAGTGCTAATAAAGCTGAAATGAATAAAACTGCTTGTTCTACTATTTAACTGAACCTATCTGACTATGTGCTCAGAAAGGTAGGTATAACTGATTCTGCTAAGGAACTGTGGGACAAGTTGGATGATCTTTATACTGATACTTCTTTGCATGGTCAACTGTTTTTGCTTGAATAATTCTTTCGGTTTAGGCTTGACCTAATCAAAGACATTGAAGAAAACTTGGATGTGTTTAATAAACGGATTCAGAATATTAAACAAGCTGGTGATAAACACATTGATGATTATACTCCTGTTGTGTTGCTTAATGCTATTCATGATTCTTATAATGATGTCAAATCTGCTATTAAATATGGTAGAGATGAGATAAGTCTAGATATGGTTGTGAATGGTCTTAAGAGTAAGGAACTTGACTTAAAACATGCTAGGAGTAATAATAGTCAACTCAAGGATTCTGGTGAGGCTATGTTTGTGAGAGGTAGGTCTAAGAGTAGATCCAAAAATCATAAGCAGGAAACCCAAACCAAGAATAGTAACCAAAATGACAAGAAGAGAAATGAGTCTAGAAAACGTGTTCGCTACAATTGTAGTAATTCTGGACACTTTATTAAGGACGGTCCCCATCCTAAGAAAGTTGACCAGGCTAGTGTAATCATAGAGAGATAGAACTAGGTGAGGTTCTGTAACGACCATCCCCAAAATGCCATTACCATACTCAACATAAAAAGAAACTCGATAAATCAAGCGGAAATAAAGATACAAAGCCTTGATATGAGACTTTATTTCTTTTAGAACAAATCAAACGATGCAAACATAACGAAACACATCCAAAAAAACAATTGTAAAACCATTACACATGATCAGGATTTTAAAAACATTTAACAACCCTTTGAAGTACCAATGTACTAAAACCACAACATAACTGATAGCCCGATCTTCTCCGTTAACCCATCCAAAACCTTGTCACCGGCTCCATACATTCTCTCAGGCTTGTGTACCTCGTTCATTACCTATACATAAGAATACGGGAAAATAGAAGTCTCGTAAGCAATAATGCTTAGTAAGTCACCATTTTATCCACTAAAAACGTTTAGGGAATCTTAGCTAGCCATGATTAGATACATGAGCTTGAATATTCCATACACATAGCATATTCACATACATATTCATATCATGTAAAACACAACATCATGTAACGAAATCTAAAAGATTTCCTCATTCATCATTCTTTCTTCTTTTCTTATTACTTGACTTGTTGGAACCCGTAGCTCGTGTCCTGGCCCCTCGCTAATGACCTTGGGTAGCTAGCCCGCAGCCATCAGAAGTAATCCTGAGACTCCCCGCGGAAGGAGATCCCGCTCCGTACAGCTCAGGTGATTACTTGGGGGAATGGCTACCTCACAACATTTCTTATCATTCATTTGATATCATTATCATCACAACTTTCATACTTGTTGGAGTTCATATACATCCAACCTAACATTAACCATAGATCTTGGATACCTTACATTGATTTTCTTATTACTTGACTTGTTGGAACCCGTAACTCGTGTCCTGGCCCCTCGCTAATGACCTTGGGTAGCTAGCCCGCAGCCATCAGAAGTAATCCCTAGACTCCCCGTGGAAGGAGATCCCGCTCCGTACAACTCAGGTGATTACTTGGGGGAACGGCTACCTCACAACATTTCTTATCATTCATTTGATATCATTATCATCACAACTTTCATACTTTGTTGGAGTTCATATACATCCAACCTAACATTAACCATAGAACTTGGATACCTTACATTGATAACTCAACAAGTTCTCCATCAACACCACCTATCAATATATACACATAACATGGCATTCACATAATATCATACCATACAAATTCAAGCATTCAAGCCAACCTATCCAATTCATAGGTATCTAGACTTCCATTTTTCTTTCATTTCAAACTATCATGTATAGGTGGTGATGACTTACATGATTCGCGTGGAGTATTTACCCGGTGTGTGCTTGTAGAACTTTCACGGACAACGGTTCTTCGATGAGCAACTATATATATCATTTACAATTGATCAACATAATTTCATGTTTTTAACCAAAACCTTAAGACTTAGGAATGAAGGGAGATTCTACATAATCAGCCCCCTAGAAGTGAGAAAACTCTCAACTTCCATCAATCAACCGACATAGCTCCGGGGTGGCTAAAACCCAATTGTATCTTAAACCCAAGATTCAACAATAATTAAACAAAAACCATACTATCAAGAGTTCTATGTATCCATTTAGAATCAACCTATACATAGTAAGAATTTGGGATTAGTGTCAAATAGGTCCTCGAACTTTCATAAAAAGGTCAATTAAGTCCTTCTATAGGAGGTTCTGTTCGGCCGTCGCGATTTGGGGCAGTTCCCGGTGGAAATTTTTTATGAATTGTTTTGAGCATCTTATTCACCACGTCTAGTTTACTAATACCAAATTTCAGCTAACAATTCAATCGGGAACACATTCAAATTAATTCTTGAATATAACTGCGCATTTTTGCGTTCTGGAATTAATTTGAATGCGCTCCCGATTAAATTTTTAGCTGAAATTTGGTATGAGTAAACTATACTTGATGAATACTATGCTCAAAAAATTTCATCAAAAAAATCCACCGGGAACCGCCCCAAATCGCGATGACCAGACAGAGTCTCCTATAGAAGGACTTAATTGACTTTTTTATGAAAGTTCGAGGACCTATTTGACAGTTTTCCCTAAGAATTTTCCCCAAATTCTTTCATCAACTTAGTAAAAATTCGGAATAATTAGTTATTCAAGAAAAAATTGAAGTTTGTTAAATACAAGCTAAACAACAACTCCAAAACAATCTTACTATCAAGAAAATCCATTAATTTTCCTAGAATCAACCCAAAGTTCACTCAACCCTAGTTAAATCTCAAAACAAGAACTATGCATCAAATATAGAAGAATTCTTCATGTAAAGTGTAAAAATCTTACCAAGTGATGATCTTTGATGAATAATATGTTTAATTTGAGCTTGAATCAGTCTAGGTAGGGTTTGGAAATGAGTTTGTAGAGAGGGGGTCGAGCTCAGATCGAAAATGAGGTTGAAAGGGGATTTTTTTGGCTAAACATTGATAGAGTATTAACTCCTAGATTCTAGAGAGAAGGGAGAGCTAGAGAGAGAAGTGAATTGTATTAATGAATTTTGTCCACCCTTACAACTACTCCCAAGGGGAGTATTTATAGAGAAAATACGGGCTGGGCTCCCAAGTCTTGGGCTTGGGAGGCCCATCTACAACTGGACCGCTATTGGGCCGAATACAAAGCCACTGGTGGGCTATACAAATGAATAAGTGTAAAATCCGGTTCTGTGAGACTTCCGTGGCCGACGAGGGCATGGCCGATGAGGGCATGGCCGATGAGGGCATGGCCGATGAGGGCATGGCCGACGAGGTCACCCAGTTCTCCGGGCTTCTGGATCATATTCTGAGTAGACCTTTTCCTGGCCGATGAGGGCATGGCCGATGAGGGCATGGCCGACGAGGTCACCCGATTCTCCTGACTTCTGGATCATATTCTGGGTGGCCTTCTTTCTGGCCGATGAGAGCATGGCCGATGAGAGCATGGCCGATGAGGGCATGGCC